CCCTCTAGAGGCAAATAGAATAGTAAAAATTTTTTGATATATTATTTGGGATTAAAATCAGGCTAGAATTGCTAAATCAAACAGTGTAGTTCTTGATATCAGACAGGCTAATTCCTGGTCAAGTTCAATAACATCATCTAGAATTGAGTTAAAATTGGCTAGAAGCTTTAATTCTATAGTTGATTCATATGGCTAAAATTGATTGGAAAAAGGCTTGGAGATCTATTTTGGGTATTATTTCAATTTTACCCCAGAACCCCCAGTTTAGCTCTACTGTAACCAGACTTTTTAGCACAAAAGAATTGATTAGAAGAGATTATTGTTAAAGCTGAATATCAAATTATATTCTATCCTAAGTTTCATTGTGAACTCAATTATATTGAGAACTTTTGGGATACAGTAAAGAAATTTAGTCAGTCAAATTGTGATTATTCGTGAATAAGATTGCAAAAAACTGTTCCATTGGCTCTTGCTTCTATTTCACTTATAACTATTCGTAAGTACATAATGAAAGTATTCTGTTATATAGATGTATACCGAAAAGGCTTAACAGGTTGAACTGCAGAATTTGCAGTTAAAAAATATCATTTACATCACCGAGTTTCTGATTCAGTTTTACAAACAGTTAATATTTAGACGCACTGGTTTATTTACACTGGCTACAAACAAAAATAAAGTAAAAATTAGGTAAATATGTGTGAATGCATACATATCAATAATAGCAATTAAAATAAAATACTTATCATTAGCAGCTTTAAAAACTTTCGTTTATTTTAAATAAACTAAAGCCAAAAATCAAACTTTTTTTTATGATAATCAGTGTTACTAAATGCAAATCAACCAATAAATGACGAGAATTTTAATTACATGATAGCATATAAGCATAACCAAAATACCAGTTTAATAGTAAATTACCTCAACTTAAAATTGCTACTATTCCACCAAAAATTGGTTTACAGCAAATTTGAATCTATACTTTTATTCCTCTTAGACTGTACTATCATTCTATAATAAGATTTGATGTTTATTTTTTTTGAGTGAGGAGTAGCAATTTGAATTTTACTAAATTTATTGGTTAGGACTAAGTTGTATGCACTGTATGTATTTTCAAAATTGGTTGACCATGTTCAATGGATCCTGATATAATACTTTGGAAACCTCTACAATGCTAGTTCTTGAAGTGGAGTTGTAATTGCAATGAAATTCTTACTTTGCATTTTTATCACTGTTAGCCAGGAGGCTAGAAATAAAGCTTAGATGATTTAATTCAGTCCTTTAAAATTAATTATCAAATCATGCCTGTATGAAGACATGGCAAAAGATAATAGCAAATGAATAACAAATATCTTTATTGAACTCTTGGTTTATTCATAAAACCCTATCTCAAGTTATCTTTCAACTTAAGGGAAAATACATGTTATTTATATAAAATAAACTAATAGTAATATAATATGATAAATATATAATATGTATAACTAATATAATAAATAAAATAAATCTATCGAATTTAACAAATTTAATAAAGTTAACAAAGATAATAAATATGATAAAATATGGATCATCGGTCAAATATGACATATTTGTCAACTAAGTCAACTATAAATTAGACGATCTTTTAATAATGTTAATCTTGCAGTTAACATCACTAAGAAGAAAAAGGTTAAACATTCATTCTTGCAAACATTATATCAAATTAGGTAACCATTAAAAGTTTGGAAATAGGTCCATAAAGATAGACAGTAACACATGCTTACCTTGTTTCAATTTGTCGTACTCTTCAAATATTTCGTCTTCGTTAGCATTAGGGTGATTTCCTTCATATTGAATAGCAAATTTGTGGTAATTTTTTAATTCGCTTGGATTTTTTCAAGCTGTTGTAATTAAAAAATAATTATTTTAATCGAAGGGATTCACAACATGCTGCAATACCAAAATTGTAAAATATCGGACATAAGAATTAAAATTTTTTATTTAACCTTTTTTTTTGAATTACCATCTATGACGATTTTTAAATTTAATTAAATCACTTTTATTTGGAATAGAAGTCCAACCATTTAAGATATGATTAACGTCCTCAATCTCTTTTCTCTTATCCAATTCATATAAATAAGAGAGAATGGCTAGTTTAATGGTTTTATCCGGTTTAATTAACCTTTGTTTCATGACCTTTAATACTTTAACAATTTCACTAGCGTAACCATTTTTGCCTAATAAATTAATTATAGATAAGAAATTTTGAATATTTAAAGTAATAATAGGAGATTGGTTTTTAATCAAATCCCTATAAAAAATTTTTCCAATATGAAATTGGTCATTGTGAGCACAAGCATCGATATAAATTGATATGGTCCTATTATCGGGTTTCAAGTTATATTTTTCAGTTAAATCAGAATATAATTGAAATAATAAAGACATTAACCCAGAGCGATTACAGGCATCCATTAAACAATTAATACATGCTATATCAGGTTGTAATCCATATCGTTTCATTTCTTCAAAGGTTTTAAACGCATTTGATAATTGACCATTATTAACAAAAGCGACCATAATAGCACAATAAGTGAACTGATTAGGAGGGATGTCACTTTTTTTCATATCTTCGAATAATTTCAGAGAAGTGTGTAAATCTCCTAATTTAGCACAAGCATCCACTAAAATAGTATAAGTGTATACATTAGGTTTAATGTCATCTTTAAGCATTTGTTGATAAACGAAAATTGCCTCATCCAATTTCAATTGTTTTGTTTTTGCATTAATTAACGCTGTATAAGCTATTAAATCTGGTACTCCATACCTTTTAATATCCTCAAATATGTGATCTATGGTATCATTATTCAATATGAGAGGTTTATTTTTAATCCAAGCGCAAATCAATGTCGTTAAAGTAACGACATTAGGTTTAATTTTTGAAACGTGAACCATCCTTTCAAACCATCTAATCGCTTCCCTTGTATATCCCGTTTTAACACATGCCGACATTAAAATAGAATAAATGTAAATGTTTGGTTTAATTCCTCTTTCAATCAATTGTTTAAAATAATAAAAACATTTTTCAATATTTTTATTATTTGCACAAGATAACATGATTCCACAATAACTTGTAATGTCAGGTTCAATCCCGGCTTCCTTCATATATCCAAACACTTGTTCGGCCTGAATTTGCGCTTTTAAGTTACCAAATAAATTCAACAAAATATTATAGGTTATTAGACTCGGTTTAATCCCATTCCTTTGCATCAATTCTAATAAATGTAATGCCTTTGTGACGTTTTTCTCTTTAACATATCCATTCATCATACTATTATATATTTTCACATCTTCATATTCTCTTCCAACTTTCCCAAATAATTCCTCGGCTGTAATTATTTCATTACTTTTAACTAACTTTGAAATTAGATAATTAACTGTATATATGGGTATCTTTTCTTTCATTATATTTAACCAATTAAATTTATTAATGGCTTCTTTTATATTTAATTTAATTATGCATTCTAATATCATTAGATTATTATTTAACCATTTCACTATCTTCTCCCTTCCTCTTAAATATTTTATTATAATTAATACTTTTTCTATGTCTTTTTCTTCATATAAGGATGTTAATAATCTTAAATGAATATGAATTGGTATGTTATTTAAAAAGTTATGGTTTTGATTCACATAACAATACCATAATTCATCAATATTATATTGATTTATTGGAATACCCTTACAATCTCTCTTTGTGTATTCGAAGAATTCCTGTATGCTTGTTATCGCGTTCATTATTTGTGTCTTGTTACTAACGTTCAAATTTGTAACCTCCTCTCTTTCTCCAATACCACTACCGTTCTCCCAATTAGTTTTCATCCTCCTAAGTATATTTCCAGTAAGTCGTTGTTGCTGTTGTTGCTTGGTAATGTCCCTACAATTGTTTCCATTTCTAACCATGCCACCGCTCCTACAAAGTCTACTTATACCATTGTTGTTACTTGGCGAATCAAACGTTAAGGACCGTCTAAGCACCTTCCAACAACACTTATCCAGTATGGAGTGGAATTGTGCTGAAGTTGTTGTATTAAACGTTAATTTAATTCTACCTCCTCGTAATATCATTTTTCGATCTTTCAATAAAAATTTCACAAGATCAAATTTTTTTTTTTTTTTTTTTTGATGACATCTATCTAGGTAATTCCTGGTGGATCGCCAGATGTTTATTAATTAAGATCCGGACTTTAAGCTACGACTCAATTTTGATTTGCAAAATATGTAAATCATACAAAATAAGATAATTACACAAATGCGTCTAAACATGTGAATATGCAAATTATTGTACAAGAATAACTTTATTTAAACCTAGTTCAGTATTTTCCAACGCTAATAATAAAAAGTTTTTTCTTTTGTTTGGACATAAAAGAATTTAAAAATAAAGTCATAAAAAAATTATATATACATATTAAATATCATTTATAATTAAGTTCTTTTACTGAATTAGTAAATTGAACTATAAACAATTGTATTATATCCAAATATGGCTGAGATTAAAATAGAAATATAGTCATTCAATGATAAACTACATTATATATATTAAAAAATAATGCCTCATTAAATAGGATTTTTTTTTTAAAGCTTATTAAATATTGAAACAAGATTTATTTACTACTTCATCCCAATTTATCAGATAAGATCTATCATTATCGAGAAATTGGTTAAGAAAGAAAAAGAATCGATTCTTATCGGTCGGTCCCAAATCCCCTCAGACCGAACCGAGATCGGATGTATCGAATGGAATCATAAGAATCATAAGCCACGATTTGACAAAGCCACATTTTAAGATTTTAAAAAACGTGTATAAATTAATTTATCATTTTTGTTCAAATAACTAAAACATAATGAGTACATTTGGTACAAATTTTCGCGTTACCACTTATGGAGAATCTCACGGTAAATCTGTGGGTTGTATTGTAGACGGTTGTCCGCCTGGGTTACCTTTAGTTGAAGCTGACATACAAACACAACTTAGTAGGAGAAGGCCAGGTCAAAGCAACTTGACAACTCCAGTAAGTGAAAAAAAATTTTTTTTCTCATATTTGAATTGAATTATTTGTAAGGGTTGTTAATTAATTAACACTTGGATTTTTCTAATATAGAGGGATGAAAAAGATTTGGTAGCTATACAATCGGGTACAGAATTTGGAATAACTTTAGGTACCCCAATTGGATTATTAGTTCCAAATCAGGATCAAAGACCTCATGATTACTCAGAGACTGATTTATATCCAAGACCAAGTCATGCTGACTGGACATATCTACAAAAATATGGTGTCAAAGCAAGTAGTGGGGGAGGTAGAGCATCCGCTCGAGAAACGATAGGTTCGGATCAATTAACCGATTTTCATTTAACAACTTTGGTTGACATTCATTTTTGATATGACGTGGTTGATTTTTAAAATAGGAAGAGTGGCTTCGGGTGCTATAGCTGAAAAATATTTAAAACTTGCTCATGGAGTTGAGATCGTTGCATTTGTGTCTTCCGTATCAAATATAGCAATGTCGTTCATAAATGAACAAGATGAAAGGTCGTTTCCCACAGAATTTTGGGAATTTCTAAATACAGTCAGCAGAGAAGAAGTGGACAAGGATGACATTCGATGTCCAGAAAAAGTGGTATCTGATCAAATGAGAGAGGTCAGTCCTTAAAAGGTTCTTTTTTTGTGTGTTCAACTTTATCATCTTAAAGAGCTTGACTAAAGACTAACTTCTTAACATTTGCGTATAGCGGATCCTTGAGGCTAAAGCTGCTAATGATTCGGTTGGTGGGACCGTTACGTGCGTTATTCGTAATGTACCCGCCGGGCTAGGTGAACCGTGTTTTGATAAATTAGAAGCAAAGCTTGCACATGCAATGCTTTCCATTCCAGCTACAAAAGGTTTTGAAATAGGAAGTGGCTTCAAGGGTACCATATTATTAGGTCATCAACACAACGATCCTTGGATAAAAAAAGACGGCGGTATATTAGGGACTAAAACCAACAATTCCGGTGGTATTCAGGTAATAATATCAAAAAGTATTTAAATTGATAATAATGCTTTTAATAGATATATAATATATTTCTGTATTTTTATGTAGGGGGGTATTACGAATGGTGAAAATATTTATTTTAGAGTTGCATTTAAACCACCTGCTACTATATCTCAAGAACAAAAAACTGCTAATTATAATGGTGTTGATGGAGTACTTGCGGCTCGAGGTCGTCATGATCCATGCGTGGTTCCACGCGCTGTGCCAATCGTTGAAGCAATGACGGCATTAGTCATTATGGAGTAAGGCTTTCCACGATTATCATTTAAACCCAATTTTTTATAAAACCGACTTGAATACTGATTTAATTTCTCTTTCTCAGTGCTCTTATGATTCAACAATCCCGCAAAACAGCAGCTTCTCTGTTACCACCAAATCCTAATATTCCACCTTCAATGTCAGGTGCAATACCAAATCTATCAAAAACGCAACAAAATAAATAATAAAATCCCAACTTAATTTAAAGATAAATAAGTTAAAAATGCACGTCGAATAAAGTTTTGATAAACGAAACGTTGTATTTTTTTTTTATTTATAACATTTGTATCGGACCGTATAAGATTTGAATAACAATATTTCAATAAAAATTTTTAATAATAATATTTACCTAATTATAATAATCACCTTGTCTTTTTAATTGTTCTGATTAATTATTATTACTTTACGCGTGATAGTGAATCTATTATCTAGAAATAAAATATAATAAGAGCGAACCCGGTTTGCGTTAATTAATCATGTTATTCATGTGTTTCTTATTTAATTAGAAAAATGAATCATCAATTGACGAAAAGATATACTATAGGCAACTAACGTGTATGGTACCCTATACAATTCCAAGATTTTTTAATTTTTTTTTTTCCTTTTTTTTTTTTATATTACTAAATTTTTTTTTTTTTAAAAAATTATTATTATTATTATTATTATATTTAATACATATTTATTCACCGCCGCTGAAAATTATTTTTTAAAGATATAATGGGACACAGAGTTATATATAATTTTTTACACATTTTGTGCACATTAGTTTTAGGGTAAAAAAATTATAATTTTCTTTACCGAATTGGCCAAAAAAATGAAGTGTGATGAACAAAAAAAAAAGCCTAAATGCTTTCGGAACCACGAACCTTATTCATAAAGGCTCCTATGTGGTCCCGGTTAAGTTCATTACTGTCGCTTTCAATGGCGCTAATTATGCTATCAACAAAATCATCTACTTTGTCGATGTCGAGTTTGCAACATGAAGCAATAATACCTTTGTACTGCATCTCGGACCTGTCGGTGGTCTCAGCGAGAGTTGCAATCTCATTTTTAAGCAGCTCTTGATCAAGTGTATACGCGGTGATTTGCGCTTGCAAACTTCTTATTTCTCCATCGATCATTTCATCAGCCGCAGATCTTGTAAAGATATGGGCTGAAAATGACGATGATGCAACAATATCATTTGGCGGGGTTATAATAATTTCTGGAAGCCTGCTTTGCGTTAATGAGGGTGAAGTCGCATTCGTAACTATTGTTGAGATGGTACTCGTTGACGCGTTATCATTTAGTGGAGAATCTGCTTTTGTTGTTGTTAATTGCGAATACGGAGATTCTATTGGTGGCAATTGAGTTGCGGATGAGGCAATCGGGGTTGATACTGATGGTGCAAAGATTGGGATTACAGATAAGGCATCGTTTAAATCGTTCTCATTCGAATGTGAGAGCTTCTGACGTTTTCGTGGGGCAAGATCATCTTGATCCTCGCGTTCTTTACGCAAAACAGTTTCAAGGAACTTGATTCTTGTTTCAATTTCATCACATTCCTTTTCTTGTGAACGATACCATTGCATGCTTCGTTGTGCGTCAGTAAGCTGCCTTGAGTTTTGATTACACTGGCTTCGAGCATTATTTATTTGTTCATCTTTCGATTTAAGTTGTTCTATCCATTCATTTTCCGCATCTTCAACAATTTTTTGAATAACTAAAGAAAAAATCATTAATAAATACACAAAAAAAACGCGTTAATAATTCATAACCTTCGTATATTTATTATAATTTGGAAATCAATAGTTTACTTTCAATAACTTCTCTGTTTCTTTTACGCGGATTGGTATACGTAGTCGTATCTGACTGCATAAAAACATCATTTGTCATGTCTGTAGATTGCATTTGTCCATTCTAACAAAAGAGATAAGAACGTTAATATGAAAATGCATGTATGATGAATTGACAAACTTAAACATACTTCTTGCAATTCATCAATTTCCATTTCAGCGTTATTTGGACTGTAGTCTGAAGGTCGTAATCCTATTTTATTTTCAATTTGTCGATTTGCACCCATTTCTTGCAATTGCTGAGACATGTGAGATTGTTTTAACCTTGTAGCAAGATTTAGCGCCGTGTCACCGTTATTGTCCTGTATATTTAATACTGCCGAAATATCAACGTTATGTGATGTTATCCAATCGTATAAACAATCCATGTAATACTTTGCCGGAGCGCAATGACCTTTGACGGCTCCACTCAATGCAAGATGATGAAAGACAGAACGATTGTCTTTATCAGTCAACGATATATTATCATGGAGAAGTTCGATTATAGAAGGAAAAGTTTGTGACTCGTAATTTGCCGTTGTTAAAACCGAGCGAACTAAAACAGATTCGCCATCATAATTAGGTTTTGTTGAGTTTGCACCCTTTGACAGTAATAGTTCTACAACTTGTAAGCGACCTAAAGTAGCCGCCCAATGAAGAGAGGTATGTCCACCTTCGTCAAGTACTATATCATAGTCTGTCGGTAATGGTGAACAAACTTGTGCGATGAGTTCAGGGATCGAATTTGAATCCTCGTTGCAGTAAATAGCTAATAATATACTTCGAAGACGCTCTTCATCTTCTATTTCACTTATAGTTTGTATTGGCTCACTAACTTCCGAACGTGCAGTAGCTTCTTCATGACCGTTATTATTATGATTGTTGTTAATGTTGTTGTTGTTATTACTATTGTTATTATTATTGTTGTTGGCGGTGTTGGCGGTGGAGATGGTGGTGGTGTTGTTAGTGTTGTTGTTGTTGGTGTTGTTGGTGGTGCTGATGTTGTTGTTGTTGGTGGTGTTGTTGGTGGTGCTGATGTTGTTGTTGTTGGTGGTGGTGGTGGTGTTGGCGTTATTGGCGTTGTTACTGGTGTTTGTGGTGTTGTTGTTGGGGGTGGTGGTATTGTTGGTGTTTGTGGTGGTGGTGGTGGCGTTATTATTATTATTATTATTGTTATTGTTATTGTTATGATTGTTGTTGTTTTTATTATTGTTATTGCTATTTACAGTTCCATTTGCTATAACATTTGCAGTATTATTATTATTTTGATTATTCTGATTATTTTGATTTTGCGCGTTTCTTCGACGCAGAGCAGCCATCGCTTGTTCTTTTGTGGGCGTATATGGAGAGGACGAATACGGTACATCGTGTTTAGGGGGTTGATAATCCAATAAAGGACGTAAAATTTCAAGAACACCATATTGTTCTGCAAGATCCTTGCCTCTTTCAAAAGGAACCCTATGATCGAATAAATTCACAATGGAAAAATATTATTGAGTAAAATTTTGTAATTAAACGTATTATTGAAGATTTTATGAAAAAAATATTAAATCTGCAAAATGATGAACAAAAGTCATTATCAAGGAACATGCTATATACAGTTATTAGGTAATGTAGTTATCAAACCGTGTCAAAATACGAGCAGTGTTCAGAAAGAAATTTAATTAATCTAACATCATTGTTTATGATTTCTGAAAAATTTCCGGTCATTTGATAATGATATCAAAAATAAGCTATTCATCGATGTCTTTACAAGTATAATTGAATAAACAAACATACCAAGTACCCTGATATTTTCCATAACCTCCCTGAACTTTTTCGTGTTCACCGGTTAAGACTTCTTTTTCAATGATTTTGGTACGTTTTCCTTTTTCGAGACCAGCGACCTTTAGAATCTGGGTGGCATTCAAGTATGAATCTGGTCGCCTCCTCATTACAGCGACATCCCTTATAAGAAACTCATATACCGGAACACCCGAGTAAACAGCCGAGTAAATAGGGCCGGCATTTGGTCTTGGAATTTGTGAGCTAACCTCTGAAGTACTCGAAATTGGTGTAGAAGGTGTAGTAAGTAAAGATGGGATTATTGCTGTTGTTTTGGAAGGTGGTGTACTCGCGTTATTTAAATTTTCATTTGAAGTGTCCGAAGAGGACGTTTGAGCAGGAAATATATTTGGTGATGTATTATCCATTCCGAAATGTAAATTATTATTGACACGTTTTTATTAAGCAAACTTAAAGACGGGGAAAGGTAGTAGTAGTAGTTGGTCACCGAACAAAAACGTGAATTTAAAAAAAAAAAAAAAAAAAATCGAGTGCGTGGGGTATGAATTAACTAGCACGTAGGCGAGAAAATTGAAGTGACACGAATCGTCACGAGTCATGCACGACTTACGGAATGATAAAATTGGCAAATAAAAAATCGTTTTATAAAATTTAAAAAATAAATTTATTAAATTATTTTTTAGCACCTAACGCGATATATAAAATTCTGGTAGGATTTTTTTGAGGGGGAAACTTTTGTTAAGCATGATATCGCAATGAAGTATTTTTTGTGATTTTTAATTGTTGTTGGTATTGTTTCGTGTCAAATATCACGAAAAATTTGGAAAAAATTTGGTTTATTACCTCGCGAAAAATTAGGTAAGTGGAAAGTCCGACGGGGGTCGCACAAACTTTATCAGAGTAGTAACCTAGAATAGTATAAATTTACCTCGAAAAAATAAGTTCTCGTAATCACGTTCCAAATTTAGTACCGATATCCTAAACGCGCAGATTGAAAAAAAAAAACGACTTGAATTAGTAATCCTTATCTTTTAAAACAAGTTTAAAACAAAACCACTTATCAATGCCATATCGATAAATTAATTTAAAGAATATCCAAATTGGAAGATTTGATATTCGATTAACATTCTTTGTGCTACTTGAATATGATAATACGCGTCATTTTTTTTTAAACTAATTTTTTTATGCTTGTTTTGGACAAGTAGATTTCTTTGAATCCAATTTTTAATTTTTATTTAGTATTTCAAAAAAAGTATTTACATCAAGAAGAAATTTACTTCTTCTTTTCATTATCAAGTCTTATCAATAAATATTCAACTTCAACTTGCTTCGTCAAAGGAATAACCCATTTCTCATACAATTCAACAACCACATCTACTTTGATTTTTAAATGTTGTGTAGTTTGTAAATTATCTAAATTAATTCCACCATGCTCTGTAATATCTTGACCGTATATTAAAGCTTTACGTCTAAGCCTTCTCAATAAAGCATCCTCGACTTTTTTGTTAGTTAACAAGGTTTCGATCGCTTCCACATCTCGATTTTTAATATATTCGATGTATTTATGTTGTAATTCAGGATCACGAAATTTCGCCTCAGCAACGAACTTTCCTTTAAAATTAAAATTAATGAAATTAATAAAAATAAATTAACTAATGAAAATGATTCAAATGACGTACCATAATGAATTCTTTGAGATAAAGCTTGTAGGCACTCGACATCTCTGGTTGCCGCCGAGCCATAATTTTGATCATCTCCTGGAGTACATAATGAAGGAACGATGTTCTCGAGATAAAATTTCATTATTTTCTTATTAACATTAATATTATTAGGTTTAAGAATTTGAGGGTATTTAAGGGGGGGGATAATCGGTTCCGGTAGAGATTCTGTGAAAGGATATTCATCGGGACTTTAAAATAAATAAGATGGGTAAATGATATATATATACACATATGTAAATGTATTTGTTCACTTGCTATAATTTTTTTTGTCGTAAATGAATTTTATAAAATCTTTTTACCTCTGATACCGTCTTACTTTTGCTACAAGTTTAGAAATTAAATTTAAAATTTCACGGAAATGATTTCTTTATTAAATTAAATTAAATAAATTATGATGATTATGATGGGTAATTTAATTACCATGAACTTTTTCAACCTCACTCAAAAAATATTCAAGAAAACTTCCATCAAAACCTTTGCTTTGTTCATATTTATACATTCCGGGCTCATAAATGTTTTTATTAACAGAATATTGTGCTCTTTCAATCAAAGCTAATTGTGCAATATGAAAAAATTCAATTCTATTAATTCAAAAGCGGTTCATTGGGCAACCCATAATTTATTTATTTATTTATTTTTAATGGCAACTAACCAAAGATTATAGTATCTTCGAGACGAATGAGTGTATCTCGAAGTTTAGGAAGAGAAATGCATTCTTCGGGGTTTCCAGATATAAAATTCATTATTGTTTTTTTTTTTTCCTTTCAAAAAAATTTTTTTTTATATACACTATGGCAGTGTTGTCATGGGACATTTTTGGGACCATAGTGTGGGACAGCCTCAAAATGTTTGGGACATCGATCACTGCACTATGGCACTATGATAAAAATTATCTAACCCGTAACATACCCAAATTTAGCTTAATTCAAAATGCGGAGAAGCCGATATCGTCACGTGATATATAAAGTACAATCTCATGAAGATTTTTATTTCAAATTTTAAATAATATGAACTTGCTTACGAAAGTTCCATTTCATATTTCGCGGTCAAGATTCGTAAACAATGTTCTTGTATCTAATGCATGTAACGTCAAGAAAACTTTAACATATACTAGAGTTTATCACTTTCGTCGATTTTCAACAAATTCTACAGAACCTAATGATGTCCATATCAACAATAAAAAAAATAAAAATGCCAGGTCGTTTCGTGTACAAGGACTTGACACATCCAACTTTCCTGACCTATCAAAGCTTGATCCAATTTTAGATGTATCAGGACCGATAATTGATCCTCCATTTCCGGTAACTCGTCCTTCCGTGGTAATCACAGCTCCGGAAACCGAAAGTGATGATATTGATGCTTTATCAATTGTCACCAGACTTTCTCCTTCAGAAATTCGTGATTTACAGAAACGAACTCTCATCATAAAGCGTGTTTCAAGTCAAACCGAGAAGGGTAGAATTCCTAGCATGTATGCTTTGGTGGTAGTAGGTAATGGAAAAGGTGTTGCTGGTTTTGGTGAGGGGAAACATGATGAGGTTCAAACTGCCATCAAAAAGGCTACCAACATAGCTATCAAAAGTTTAAGATATTTTGAAAGGTATGACGATAGAACCTTATATCATGATATAGAACATAAATTTCATGGAACAACGATAAAGTTTTGGGCTAGACCTCCAGGTAAGTTAAAGGGAAGGGGGTTAATTAAAGTATTTTATTTATTTATTTATTGATCAAATTATTTTTAGGATTTGGTATTAGATGTAATCATTATATACATGAAGTTGCTAAATGCATCGGTATTCAAGATATTTCTGCAAAGGTTCTTGGTTCATGCAATGGAATGAATGTTATAAAATGTACCTTTGAAGCTTTAAATAGTCAAAACTTGCCTTCTGAAATTGCAAAATCTAGAGGAAAGAATCTGATGGACGTATATCATACTTATTATGGAACTAAATAAAATAACAAATGGTTCATTGGTTCTTAATATAATTATTTTTTTATTATTTGTTTTTTATTATTCAAATGTATTTATTTATTTTTTGAAATTTAATAACGATAATTTAAAAAAACGTGTCCGTCATTTTTATTTCAGTAAATAAAAGATCATAATGGTTTTCCTGAATCGGAAAGGAATATTCCAGAAATTTCGGATGCGCATGATATTTACTGAATCATCAGTCCATAAAATTTAGTGACTTATCTTTCGCTATCCATACAAAGTGTTTCTAATAAGATAATGTCATATCAAAATCCAGCTACATTCTCACCGTATACTCCACCTCCTGATGAGCAAAAGTCGAACCGCAATTCCGTTCGATATGCACCGATTCCTAGTAGCAGTACAACTGCGTCAACCTCCGCTTCTGCTTCTGCAAATCCCTTTGCCGGAGTTTATAAGCAAACAGAACAATTCCCTGATGCTCAAATAAGGATCAATAAATATGAGACGGGCTTGCCAATAAGGTATACGAGTCTTATAATACGAATTCTCATTTATTTATTTATTTATCATATAACGCGTACTTGATTTATATCCTGTATCTTTTTGAGATAGAGTTGATATTGAAGCGGCTTTGGCTTATGCGCTGGGCTGTGTAACTGGTGAACTTTTTTTTAAATAAAAAATATTAAATACATTTTGATTTATGTGTATATATAATATTTTATTTGTTTATTTAAGGTGTCATGTTATTGATTATGGAACAAAAGAACGATTATGTTCGATTTCACGCATGGCAGGTAAGAAATTAATATACGACAATAATTTTAATCGAAATTTTAATCAATTCAATTTTAGGAAATAATACGATTTGATTGAATAAACTAATCTTTTCTTTAATAAAGTCTTCCTTATTATTCGCAACTATTTTTGTGAGTAATAATTCATTATATTAAAAGTACTTTAACTATTTACCCTTTTTTCTTTTATTTTACTTATATATATATATTATATTATATGTTTATTTTTATCATCTTTAGTTTTTCCATTTCATTATACTTTTTATTAATTCGGTCCTAAGCTGGATTTTTGCGATCATGGAGATCGGATTAATTATTTTTCTTTGGTTGGTTAATGATTATTCTTTTAATTATAATTTGTAAATCAGTTTGTTAAGGTTACTGAAATTATTATTATTTAATATTAGTTATCGAGCCTATGTGGATGGAATTACTTTGGAACGATTTGAATTACCGATTTTTGGTACTTTAGCCAGTTCTTGGGTGGATAGCGAATAAATAAAATATTTAAAGAGATAATTTTGTAGTCTTTTATTTACGACAAAAAAGTTTGAAGGAAATTGATTAATGTATGAGTTTTATATTACCCATCTCATTTGAAATACAAGTTTTATAGCTTTTATTTTTTGTATTATATTCGCAAGGAACAACCTTTTTCATGCATTCATTTAACATGGTTCTTTATTATTTTAAATATATTTGATCGATTTTTCATTCTATTAAATAATCCACTGATGTATAAACATTACCAACATTACTTTGGCCTCTCAAAAATAAAATAAATCCCCATCGTTATGCTTTAACGAAACAACAATCAAATATTATATAATTTTTATGCAAGCTTAACTTATTTTCAAATTAATCAACGTCCACCAGCCAACAACATAACCTTTGCATCATAATTTCGTCGTGTTAAAATCTCTATCAAAGTTTTCTCTAATTCCTCTTTACGACCGACGATGTTGATACGATTATTTACCGTGTAATGGAACATTAATTGTTTTCGAATCTCTAAAAGGCTCATGAATTGAACTTTGGATGGATCAACTTTCATTCCTTCTTTATGTTCAACACAATAGATTTCATTTCGTCTATTAAGATATTTGCGACATAATGAAGGAATAGATAATTGTGATAGCTCAATGCTGTGTGTCTCGGAAACAAATTTACGAATTCCATCCATGGAAACAGAAGTTTCATTTAGAAGCAACACTACCAATTTTTCAAAAAGGACGAGAAGAAACATGGAATCATCATTAATCTTCTTATTTCCAGTTATATTCAAAAAGGTCAAATTACTTTTTAGCGATACGAGATGAGACAATGCTTCATTCCCAATTCCGGCACTTTCAATGACCAATTCATCCAAATTTTTAAGTCCTCGAAGGTTGTTAAAATAAGAATCTTCAATCGGCATGAAGCTCAACTTCAAAGATTTTAAGTATTGGAAGCTATTTGGCAAGCCAAACACGGACAACAATCGATTAGTATTTTGTATAATGTGAAGTTCCAAGCTATCATCAATAACGAATGTCTTATTGATGATATCACGCCTCATATTTTCGAAGGTATAGGTCAGATCTAATGATGTGACCGCCTCCACGGCACGAAATTCTTTAAGAACTTCATAATTCAAGAATCCTAAATCAAAAGATTTAATTAAATGTGCGTAGATGTAAACATTAATTCTAAACTTAACAAATACCTGATTCTTCAAGCCATCCATAGGTCTGATTAAGCGCAGGTAATTCACCATCAACCAAAGTTTCTTCCTTGAATCTGTTAACAACTTCTTGACCTATAACTTTGATCAATCGTCTCAATAATTTGTTGATAGACGTGTAGTCACCATCGAAGTAAACTGGCCCATATAAGTCGTTTTTGTAACCTAGAGCCATATCTTGAGAACAGATTCGTTTATTATTAAAAAATAAATAAATATATTTATATTTATATACAAATGATACTCACATTTAGTTCTTTCAAATATCTTTTCCGCTTCCTGACAAGATTTCTGACTTTCTTCTCTCAATTTCTGATTTTCATCTATTTGTCTCCTCAATTCGGCTTCAAGTTTTTCGATTCTGTACTTATATGCATCGACATTTATAATATGACCGGATTCATACTTGATTCTTTTCATTGGTGAAATCATCTCATTCTCATTGTAAGCGATTTGAGACCCGTTAATAGAACTCCTCAAATTTATCTGTGAATCCTTGGTAGTACTTGACTTTTTGTTACTCTCGAATTGTTGTGAAAAATAAGGTGTCAAATTCTCCTTATTACCAAAAGGTTTACCAGGAGTATTACGAAGGATATTCGAAGTTCTGGCTTGTGAAGGGCTACGAATACGCGCATTTGACAACATATTAAGAGGCGTTATTTCCTTTTCGTCACCGAGGGTACGTTTGTTACTTCTACGAGAAGCTGAAACATTATTTTCATCATGGTAAAAAGTAATTTGAACTTTAGAAGGTGTTTTTGAGGTATTCATCTTTAAACAATATTGAAAGTGTTGAACCCGAAGATATTATTATTGATTTAAATGATTTAAATAAACCAAACATCATGACGTAAGTCGTGACGATTATATTTCTGCCAAAAAAGGAAATGACGCGGGTTGACACGTTCTGTATAAATATTAATTTAAAGCAATGGACTAAATGGTAAGGATTTGCAATATTCCCCGGGATCCTTTCCACGATCCGTTCCAGGCCCTTACCGTAAATAGAAAAGGGCATGAGGGACGAGGGCATAATTATTACAAGAAATCTGTGTTTTTGAACACCTTAAAAAAATATTTGATATTATAATTTATGTTTTATATTTATTTTTTTGTTTTTATTTTTTTTTATTTTATAAACATGCAGATTAAAAAGAACCAGGTATGGACAAAATGCGGCATTGGTAGAATATTTATAGTTACTTACAGGAAAATCTCGTGATTCTATTTCACTACCTTATCTTTATTCAACACATCCTTCCCGCGGTTCTTATCGGAAATAGTAATAAATAATCTCTAAATTACAAAATGCTTTTAACTTGAATTATCTTTCGAAGATTATCAAATCTTTCTAACGATTGAGGAAATGCTTATACAAGTTTTCCATCCTGATTGCTGTGCTACAACACCTTTTTTTGATGATCACGAGTGAATAATGTTCTCTTTGTACTGCGGGTTATAAAGTGAGTATTACCAAGTGAAAATTTTTTTAATTTATGGCATCAACATAGAAAAAATAGTTGCTAAGCCAACATTATTATGTGATAGTACCTAACCCCCAAATTTGCAAATTTGAGATGACGTTTAGTAGTTTGATTAACCTCGATTATATCGCATAGTATTACAATATATATAAATAATTTTCTTGTGATTTAATGGCCAGCCCTTTCGTAAGCTGTTTGGGTGTTTAAAAAAAAAAGTCCCAAAAAAAATTTTATAATAAACTACCAAAAAAGCCCAAGACGCAACACCAAACCGTTTGTAGAAGTCATTCAAAGATCTCTGTCTTTTAACTATTCAGCACAAAATATAAAATTAGTAAAACACTTACTTCAACTTTCCGTTAATTGTAAGCGGTTCTTAAATCTTTTACTTTTAAATAATGTTACTATTTGTTTCCGTTATTACAATATCTTTAAATTTTCAGGCTTAATAATGAAAATCTTTTTTTTTTCTATAAGTCCTAGCAATCACCAGAATTTATCTAGCACATAATAGGACGTCATACTAACCTTAACGGCAATTATGATGGCGACCTCACATGCTTTTCCTCCTGAAGAAAGTTTTCCCCATCCAACACCAACAAATTTTCAAACACAACAAAATACAAAACAAGCTGTAATTTATAACAAGTCGGGTACAAAGTGTATGAATATCGTGAAGGAACCTGGAATGTCTCTGTCTCCGACATCACCGTCCACAAGGGAACAGAATGATTCCTCTCCCTCTCATAACCTTCAAAATAATAACGGTACAGCTAAAAAGAAAAAGAAAAAGAAGGTTAAAAGAAAACCTCCCGCAGACCATGTATACGAAGCTGATATTCAAGCTAATGGTACACATAATAATCATATAAAGACTCATCAAGTAAATTATACCAGTGACGATGGTGAAGAAGTAGTGGACGTTGAATTAGAAGATGAAGATGAATTCGATTCTGAAGATGGGTATGATCCGGAAGACCCCGAAATACCTTTTCCACGAAAGGATTCTATCGCAATTCTTGATGGTGAAAATCATCATGTTCCTAATACTACTTCAAAGAAAAAGAAGAAGAAGAAGAAGAACAAGAATGGTCTCAATATTAATCAAATTTCAGATATTCACCACAACCATCCTCATCATAATCATAGTCATAAATCCCGTAAAGACGGTATCTGGAATACCAATAATAACGAAGAGCGACAACGAATAAGAGAATTCTGGTTACAGTTAGGTGAAGAGGAAAGGAGAAGTTTAGTAAAAGTTGAAAAAGAAGCTGTGCTAAAAAAAATGAAAGAACAACAAAAGCATTCATGTTCATGTTCTGTATGTGGCAAAAAGAGGTTAGCAAATTTGAACTTTTATTTAATTATTATTATTATTTTTTTTTTTTTTTTTTTTTTTTTACTCTTCAAGAATTATTAGTATCAATTATTGCCTCTCGATTTAATAATTGCTTATAAAAAAAAGCAGTCAACGATGTAAAAGATTCAAAATTTAGTGGAAATTTTGATCTACTACGTGGTAATTACATTGAGCATGTTACAACTTGCCGTGAGCTTTCTATTCGATTAATATAAATATTATATACATATGTACATATGTATATATTATTTATTCATTTAATAAAACAAATAGATAAATAATATATTTGTACCTATTATTAAAAACTATTATAAAAATATTTGGCATGTAATATAGGACCGCTATTGAAGAAGAGCTGGAAACCCTTTATGATGCTTACTATGAAGAACTAGAATCTTATGCGAACCAACAACAGCAATTCGGCCCCTCAAATATCGAGTATCGAAATGATACTGCAGAGTTTGATGACGAGGACGATGATGAGGATTACGATGATGACGATGAGGACGACGATGAAGACTATGAAGGCAGTGAGAATGATAGCGATACACGGAGGGAAATTTTTAATTTTGGTAACAGTTTGACTGTAAAAGGTGCGTGATGATTACCTAGCAGGGTTAGAAATCCTTCTTGATGATCGAAATTTATTTAGTTTACAAATTATCAATTTTAATAGAATATAATACTAATATGTATATACTGACTCAGGAGGCATTTTGACAGTAGCAGATGATCTTTTAAAAAACGACGGTAAAAAGTTCCTTGAAATGATGGAACGACTTGCTGAACGAAGGATGCAACGGGAGGAGGAAGCAGCAATGGAACAACGTGATTATGAAGAATATGAAGATGATGAAGATGAGGAATACGAAGATGAAGCTGAAGAAGTACATTAATTAATTTTACTTTTAATTATTACTACTTTAGAAAATCAATATTCCTATATTAATAAATTTTTTGTTATAGGATAATCAGACAGATGAGCAACGTATGGAAGAAGGCCGACGAATGTTCCAGATATTTGCGGCACGAATGTTTGAACAGCGGGTGTTAAATGCATATCGAGAGAAAGTTCGTAGTAAAAAAAATTTGAGGAGGGCTTTTCAAATACATGATTTTTAATTCTTTTTGATTCACACAGGTTGCTCAAGAACGGCAACAAAAGTTATTAGAGGAATTAGAGGAAGAAAATCGACTAAAAGAAGAACGTGAGCTAAAAAAGCTAAAAGAGAAGGAGAAAAAGAAGGCTAAAAACAGGTTTGATATAATAGTATTTGTCCCCAAGTAAAATTTATACTTATATATATTTTTTTTGCTTAGGGCATTGAAACTACAAAAAGAGGAAGAACGTGCAAGAAAAGAGGCCGAAAGACTAGCTGAAGAGAAAGCTTTACGTGCAGAACGTGAAAGAAAATTAGAGGAAGAACGTAAAAAACGTGAGGAAGAACGCCTAAAAAAAGAGGCAGAAAGGAGGGCAAGGGAAGAAGAACGACAAAGGAAAGAAGAGGAGAAAAGGCGAAAAGCAAAAGAAGATAAAGAGAGAGAAGAGCGCAGGAAAAAAGAACAGGAAGCTAAAGAGCGTAAGGAAAGAGAAAGAGAAGAAAAAGAACGTAAGGAGCGAGAAGAAAAGTTTCGAAAAGAAAAAGAAGAACGTAGACAGCGTGAAGAACGAGAGCGCAAACAACGTGAATTAAAAGAGAAAGAACGCAAAGAAAAAGAGGAACAAGAACGCAAAGATCGTGAAAAAAAAGAGCGTGAAGCAAAGGAACGAGAGCGGAAAGAGAAGGAGGAACAGGAACGCAAAGATCGTGAAGAAAAAGACCGAAAAGAGAGAGAAGAAAAACAAAGAGCTGCTAGTGTTCCTCCAGTAAGGCAGCAGCAGCATCATGAACGAAAGCGGACAATTCCACCAATTGGTCAACCTTCTGCCCAGACACCGCCACCACCACCAATAAATTCAACGGTAGTACATAATAAATCTAGTTCAATGCCAAATGGAATGAATTGGATGAATTATTCATCACATGAACATCATCCACCTCTACCCCCACAACATCCTATAAACCCACAGCATGTTATAAATTCTCATCTACCACCTCATCCACTACCAAACACACCACATCCATTATTTAGTCCTGGCGGGCCACAATCACAATTTGGAGGACAACCCGTTGGAATAATGAATGGCCCCACAGGGATGACAAATGAAGTTGTTAATGACGTTTTTACGAACAATAAGAAAGTAATAAACCCACCATCACAAGGAACGAACACTTTACAGGGAATAAATCCTACATCATCCTTATTTGCAGGGTTGGGCCCAATTGGTATGGGCGTTCATCCACATCATGGAGGACCTCCAGTACCAATGCACGCTCATCATCAAGTAATGAGACAAATACCACCTCCTAGAGGTTTTAATCCGATTGCACCAACACCACATTTGGCCGGTCCTTCGGGAGTACCGCCATCTGTGGCTTCTACAAATTTATCGTTGCTTAATGAAAATACTGTAATGAGCGGAAATGGGAACATTGGCACGGGAGTATCAGGAAATCCACCAACTGGTGCATTTGGTGGGTTACCTATAGGTGGAGTGCAGGGTTCATTAGGACCACAGACATTTAATTTAGGGACGCAAGTCATTAGCCAACCACCAGTATCTCACATGGGATCTAATGTTTCTCAAAGCACACCATTAGCTCCTATCGGGCATCGTCGTATGTCTCAGCATCCAGAAGATTCACATGTAAAGGCCATACATAGACCTCAACCGATACAACGTCCAAGAAGAAATTCCGGTACAGGACAATCGCTGGATGCACATACGAATACAAGATCTCCGCCACCTGGTTTTGGTAATATGGTTGGATCTAGTGCTTTGCTTGGCGAAGACCAACCTCATCCAATGGTAAATAGGAGACAGAGTTTAGCTCTTGTTGAAAGTTCATATTTTTCTAATTCGTTATTTTGTACAGCAATGCCCGGAGGTTAGGAAATAATTTTTTAAGTTATATTGTTTCTTTTTATTTTTTGGATTTCCTTGTTTGAAGGATTCTTTGTAGTTATTTAAGAGTCCGCCAATAAATAAATAAATACGTTAAAAACAAATTTTGTAGAGTCAAATCCTCCGCAATCATCACCGAATCAACAACAGCAACAACACGGGACAAATCGTTTATCACACCGATCTGTTGCAAGTGAGAATGAATGGCCTCCAATACGTGGAAGACAAAATGTAACAGATAATCTCATAGGAGAATCATTATCAATGAATGGTGGTAATAATGTTGGTAATAATAATATAGGATCAAACGACATATGGGGATCAAATTATGTTGGTGGACAGTCATTGTGGTATTCGGAAGGTAATAACCCTGCAAATCGTAGGGCAGTGGGTTCAAGAGACTTTAGTATACCATAATAACAAAAAGAGAAATTAAAATATATTATATTTGCAAAACTCTGATACCACATATATTATTAGTGCAATATTTCTTTTCTTTATTACCTTGTAATCATACAAATACTATATATACCACATATTACTTACATTATATTTTAGTATTCTCTTTTGGCGTAAAATTTAAGAATGTGTTTATTTATATATATTTTTCCTTTGCAAAAAAAAAACAAAAAAAAAAGTTTGTGATTCTTAAGAAAAAAAAAATTACCAATATTATTTTATCTTTATTATAATTTTACTTTTCAATTAGCATTTTTGGAAAACTCATTTGCCACTTGAAAAAAAGAAGAAAAAAAAAACTTTTTTTTTCATTATGTAATAATAAATCTGTTTAAATTACTAAATTCAAAGTATATCACTCGTATTATTTAATATTATATTTACACGCGCTTTCATATAGAATCTTACTTATAAAACGAAATTTTACAAATAATCACAAAAAAAAAAAATATTGTGACAAAAATTCTATATATTAATAAAAAGCCATATATATATTTCATAAATAAACAACAAAAAAAAACACAATATACATTTCATACAAAAAGAATATATAAAAGAGCAAAAAAATAAAAATAAAATAAACTAAATAATTTGTTTAAGAAATAATATACTCACAAATTGGGCATAAAAAGGTATTGTTCTAAAGAAGGTAATCAAAAAAAAAAAACGAAAATAAAACCATTAAATAATACCAATACAATAAATCCTTGAAGCATGAATTATCCGACAACCAGCCAAATCCACTTCAGCTTTTGTGATTACATCAGGAGTTACCAAGGGACAGTTGGAAACATCAAGATGTTTAAGATTACCAGCCAAAAATTTGCAAATTGATTTTATACAATTATCGTTAACATTACGACAATATCTTAAGAATAATTTACTTAACTTACGACAATCCCTCACCAATTCTACTACGGAATGTTCACTAACACCCCATTCACGCAAATCAAGCATAGTTATGGAATGATTAATATTGGATCTAATACATTCCATTAATTCATCAAGTAAACAATCTTCGTTATTTATTTCAACTCCACCCAGAACCAACACCTGCATTCCTTTACATGATTTAACAAGTTCCATGATGGATTTAATCTCTACACGAATCACGTCTAGTCTAAATTCAACAAGATTTGGACAATGTGTCGCAAGAGCTTTGATACCTTTTTCAACAGAATCAGCAGCACCACAAGGTAACATGATCATCTTTCTAAGGTTTTGTTTGCAATGCGAGGCGAGTGAAATAATAGCTTCTTCGGACACTTTGGTCTCTGAGAGATTAACTTCGGTTAACATCTTTCCAAATTCCACTACGTTAAAGGTCTTGTCTTCAACACTGTGACAATCACTAATGTCCAAAGATCTTAACTTTTGAAACTTTAGACCGTCCAATGCATGATCAATTTGTAGACCATTAATGCGAAGATCGGTAATTTTAGCAATAACAGAAGGTGATAATCCCGCTAATAATGATTTTGGAGATGCAGTGATCTTGATACAAAGTTCATCGAGACAACCTTTTTGTGTCTCCACAAGATTCGACAAAAGTATTGGAGTACAATTACGTACAACAAGTTTAAAAACGCGAAGTCTCTTACAATTTTCAATAATAAACCTCAGAGTATCATCTGTATTCTCATACTGTAAAAGATCTAGATGTGAAACATTAGGAAAGCGTTGAATCATTGGAGAAAAAAATGTTGTTTGCCAACAAGTTTCTAAGGAATCAATAGAAGTACAACGATCGTTAAATGCCTTTGATAAAGCCGAAAAGGCTTCCTGAATCATACGAGATCTTTCAACATTTGAAGTTGTAGCTGTTGCAACCAATGTTTCAAGGAATCGATACATTGTAGGAACGCTAATATGGCGTGTAAAAGAAATGTAATCAAGTGATGTCTTGGTTGTGATTAATATATAATTTTCTTTCAAAGAGGAGAATTCTACCGACAAATCATTTTCCAAACAACTTAAGTATGTTCCAATTAATAAAGCACCTTTCGGATTAATTTCTCGTTTGACAAGTTCACCTTCTTCCTCTTCAATAGAAAAATATTTCCAAGGATTTTTATAAAGAAGTGGAGCAGATAGTCGCGCAAATAAACGGTTAGTACGTATACAGTTGTTAAGAGCTTTTGAGTCGTGAGTCAAATGAGAGATTATTTCGTGAATACACTCTGTAGGGAGTGTCTTTTCAAGCGATTGAGTTGACATTTGATTTGTAATTCTTTACAGTGAGAAAAAAATAACTCGTGGCCCAAGACTCGTGGTTTTGTGACTCTTAAGTTGATCAAATTATCTATATGAAAGATTTATATAAAGCAAATTCCTTATGACGTGACTAATGTTACACGTTACATCAAACTGTTTGGTGATACTTTAATACATTGATTTATTTTTATTATCTTTGAGTTAACGTTAATGTTTTCCTTGTGCATTCAAATCAGGAATCAACCCATATTCGTATGCTTCTTCATCACCAAATTGAACTTTGGTTTTTTGTATACTTACAAGAATTTCTTTTGCTTTATCATCGAAATTTACTCCTGTTAGTTCCATGTCAACCAAAACTCTTCTCGCAGCATTAAGGTCATTTTGTTTCACGAATGCTTCCAAAATTAACGAATAATAATTGGAATAAATACTTGGTGAACTCAACACTCGTTTTCGATAAAAAGAAAGGAATTGCCACGCTACTTGAGGATGTTTATTCATGGCAAGAGGTTGAATTACATAATCTAAAAATTCTCTTTGGAATGGTCGGATTCCTTCGTTCTCCATTATATAAAGTGTTTTAATTGCCTTGCCAAATAGATTCATTTTACAGAGAAACCCAATATATCTTACATATGAATAACTATTTGGTTTAAAGTCTATTATTGAATTATTGTCTAGATTTAACATTTCTTGCCATAATGATTGTACCCCTTGAGCGTCTTTCTTTGAAATGTAATAATTTAGCAACACATGGAATTGATGCTTAGTAAAGAATTGTAACCCTAGATCTTCGATTTCTTTGACATAGTAATCAGCCGCAGGTGTATTCATTGTTGCTTTGATAAGTGCTACCAAAGTAGATATGGTGGGCAATACTCCATTATTACGCATTTCTTCGTATATCGCTTTAGCTGTTTCAACTTCATCTTTGATAAAACTTATTATAAATTCCTTATATACTGGTTCATCAGCAATTGATAATTTCTTATATTTTTGATATAATTCTCTTAATTTGTTAATATCTTTATTTTCTGAAGCTAAATAAATATTTGCTTTTATATTGTTGGTTTCTTCGGTTTTAAATATTTCGGAAACTGGATTAGGTTTTTCTAATATTTTTGACGTTTCCAAAATTGAAGATTTAATTAAATTATCGTAAAAGATTTCGGGTTTATGACGATTTGATTTCAAATTTTCACGAAAAGCTTGAGTTAATCTAAGATAAAGTTCCTTTTCTTCTTTATCAAAAGAAAACTTGGTAATATTTGTAGAGAAATTGGAAGTAGAATCTACAGAACTTTTGAGAAATTTATTGCTAAATTGGAGACGTACAAAATTAATTGCTCGAGGAAAAAGATAAAAGTAATTTTTTTTTGTCATTTTAAGAAATTTTAAGAGATTCCTCCAATTTTAAAGAAAAAGTTATTAATATTTTTTATTTTTTATTTATTTATTTATATTATATTTATAAATGTTAAACCAGATTTTTTCCTAAATGGTAAAATAAAACTAACTTTGATGCCGGTCAGAAGTAATATTTAACGCCGGTCAAAAGTATAAAAGTAAATATATATTTGTTTTAATTATAATTTAATCATATAAAATATCAATATTATTAAAAAAATAAAATAAAAAATAACTACTGAAATAAGCAATAAATCTAATTTTATATATTTATAAATATTATTTTATTTAACTTTAGCTGAAAATTACAAAAATTTTGACAATTCTAAAAAAAATATATTTTTTTTTAATATATTTTAAACAACTTTTTGAATATTAAAATTTTATGATAATTTATTTAATATTTATATTTTCAAATATATTATTATATTAAAATTTTTATTATTATATTAAACTTTTTTAAATACCTTATTTTAATTTTTTTAAAAAAAAATTTAAATATAATTGATAAATTTTCTATTTAATTATAATAATATAGCAGTAAATTTTTGTATATAGTCAATTTACATTACTTCAGTTATATCATCTGTAAAAAAAAAAGATCAATCACTATTTCAATCATCATATTTATTATTTTTACCAATTATGAAAAATTCTATGTAAATATTTTATTACAACTCTTATTCTAATGAAATATCTTATAAACTAATATATCATTTAAATTTTTTTTATAAAAATAACTTTTAATTGCTAATTTACACATAATAAGAAAACATTGATCACTATGAGATTATGATTTATAATTAAAATAAGTTATTCTAAATCTCATATTCCTAACTAATTGCAATTTTAAAAATTTTAAAAATGTCAAAAAATCACTATACATCTGAAAAACTTATTGTTATATATAACCTTATTTTAGAATTTTATTATGCTTCTTTTTTACAAGATTGATAATATTTATTTGACTTTAAATTTAAAAATTCTAATATATATCTTATTCTGTTAAAACTTAACTTTCAAGTTAAAACAAAAATATTTTACTGTTAAAATAATTTGAAATTTACAAAATTCAAATATGGGGGGAAATAGGGCAGTTCCCACTAAGAAGGAATCTGCTTTCCATTGCCTTCCTGCTATATTCCTTTGTATTTCTTTTCCATTTCT